TGCTCACACTCACACACACACACACACAGACATGCCAACTCCTGAAAGAGGTTCCCAGAAGCTGGTTGGGGTCAAGTAGAAAGTCCTCCAGGGCTCAGGTCTCCAGCAGAGGGTACAAGGTACAGCAAATGGACCCAGGTCCACAAGGGAGACAAAAACAAGGGTGAGGAGAAAAGAAAAAAAAAAAATCACACGCTTCCTGCTGTTTCACTATTCTAGGTCTGGGCCAGGGATTTAGCTCAGTGGTTCTGCCACCTGCCTCGCAAGCTCAAGGTGGGGAGTTCGATCCCTGGTACCAAAAAAAGAAAAAACAAAGCCACTATTCAAAGTCTGTGAGGCTCTCTCCAAACAAAAAAGGCTAGAAGCAGGAGCCCAGTGACTATACTGCCCTGGACAGCAGTTATCTCTGCATTTCTAAACCTCTGTTTCTCAACTGTAAAATGGGGATGATAGTGTCTCCCTCACAGGGTGGTATGATTAAATAAGGAACAGAGAGCCAGGCGTGGTGGTGCATGCCTGTCATCCCAGCACTCGGGAGGCTGAGGTGGGAGGATCACTGTGAGTTCGAGACCAACCTTGGCTACAGAGTGAGTTCCAGTTCAGTCTCGACTACATAGTGAGACCCTGTCTCAAAAAAACAAAAAGGAACAGAGACACTCAACAGTGTTCCTGGTATACATCATGCACATACTGCATATTACACTGGAGGAATTAGCTGTACCATGGTGATCACTCCTGTACCTCCTGAGACCAACATCCTGCCCAACACCTAGCCTTAAACGGTAATGGCAGGGGGCAGGGGATTTAGTTCAGTGGTTCCACCACTTGTCTCACAAGCACAAGGTCAAGAGTTTGATCCCCAGTACCAAAAGAAAAAGGCAGTAATGGCAGACCCTGTTGTATTTTATTTATTTATTTATTTTTGGTACCATGGATCAAACTCAGGACCTTGTGCTTGCGAGGCAGGAGGAGGAACCAATGAGCTAAATCCCTAGCCCTGGCAGACCGCGTTTTAAATCACCCTATGAAATCCAGAATGAAATATAGACCTTAGTGTAGTCACATACAGAGAAAAGAAAGGACTGAGGGGCTACGATGGTAATTGTATGATCAGCCCCAAGTAAGTTAATATGGGGAAGCTACACAGTCTCTTCATTCACGTTAAGTGCACATTTAGTTAGCACCTCCTGTGTGCAAGTTTCATGCTAATAATGAGTTCTGACTCAGGAAAATACAACACAGTGAAGTGTTTCAAGTTTCTCCTTCAACCTGCCACTTAGGAGAGAAATTAACTTCAGGTCAGATGAAAAGAGACTCATGGAAAAAGTGTAAATAGAAGGAAAAATAGAAACAACGCTTCTGTAAACGGGGAGGTAAGGGGGGCTTGAGGAGAGGAATGGGATAAAATTAAAAAAAAAAAACCAAAAAACACCTGGAGCTGAGGAGCAATATACTCTCTGAACAGGCCTCCGTGTCACTCAGGTGGCCCTGACTCCAGCAGGGAGCTCACAGCACCCTGGGGACATAGGCACTTAGTATCCTCATTCTTATGGTGCAGCATCATCGGGTTCCATAAATATCCATAACTATCAGGCCCCAGCATTTATGGCAAACTTATGTGTCAGCCTTGCTTCATCCACAATAACCTCTCTCTCTCTCCCCCAACTCCCTGGGCTTAAAGGACAGGGCATCTCTCAGCAGTTCCTACTCGAACTGACTCTGAAAGAGCAAGGGGAGAAATGAAGCTGTGCCCTTGGATTCATCGTATTAATTCACACAAATCTTCCAGGCTGTGGGCATATAAACCCTGCTGCACGTTCCTGGAGACCACTAACACTTATGGAAGCTCTGTAGGAGCAAGGCAAGAGGATGTAACTGCCTTAATTGAGGATGTTCAAAAACCATACATAAGCCAGGCCTATTGGTGCATGCCTGTAATCCCAGCACTCAGAAGGTTGAAGCAGAAGGATTGCAAGTTCCAGGTCAGACCAGATCATGAAGAGAAACCCTATCTCTCCCCCCAAAAAATTATAAAGTAGGAGAGGTCTGTGTACCACATTAGGATGCTTCCTGGACTCAAGGGTGAGCTTTCAGCATGCTGCCTTGGGGCCAACACAGACCCACCATCCCAAGGCCACAACTCAGAGCCAGGGGCAAGATCCACCACCAGTGTGTTTGTTAAGTTGAAGTTGCTCACAGAAAATGCACACCTCCCTTCAGGAAGTTCTCATCACCAAAAATCTGCAATGCTTTTGCTCTGGAGCATAACCCTAAAACTGCTGGGTACCTACAAGAATAAGAAGCCAAAGCCTCCGAGAATAAGGTTTCTACCACGAGATATCCAGAACCACGGCTCCCGCAAGTGCTAGGCACATGGTCACAACATCGCATCATCACTGCTTCAGGTGTCAATACTAATAAAAGATCACTTTGATGACTCACATGTTTGTGAAGCTGCAGAGAGTGATGTTCAATCACATACCTGTTTAAGAACAAGCTAGACGAGACTTCAAGGCCAGTAAGTGATCTGGCTGTGATCAAGAAGTGGTCCTAGTCGGGCATGGTGCTGCATGCCTATAATCCCAGCACTCAGGAGGCTGAGGCAGGAGGACTGCCATGAGCTTGAAGCCAGCTTGGGTTACATTATGAATTCAAGGCCAGCCTGAATTACACAGTGAGATCAAAAAACCAAACAAACAAAAAAAGGGGTCTGGGCTTCACTGAAGCAGCATGTCTCTCCCTGCCACCGGAAAGTTTTGCCAAAAATAAGAAACTAGAAACATACATACTGAGGACCAAACTCAGGGCCACTAACAAGGTCCTGAGTTCGATCCCCGGTACCAGAAAAAACAAACAAACAAACAAAAAACTCAGGGGCACTCTATAACTGATCTAATCCTTAGCATTCATTTTGTTTTGAGACAAGTTCTCACTAAATTGCCCAGGATAGTCTCTAACTTGAAATCAACCTGCCTCAGCCTTCCAAGCAGTTGGGATTACAGGCATATACCACACCTGGCTCTGAGGACTTTTAATAATGGAGAAAATGAAATAGTCACCTGTTCTTTGTAAGACAACCAAAAATCCAAAGCTCCTGACCACTGATTTCTTCCAAAGAACAAATTCACATGGTGCTGAATCTCAAGAACCAACTGTACCAGAGCTTCTAAAACCCAATGGTCTTTCTTTCTTTTTTGCGGTACTGGGGATTGAACTCAGGACCTTGCACTTATGAGGCAGGCACAGTGCCACTAAGCTAAATCCCCAGCCCCACAATGACCTTTCTGAGGAAGTCCAAGTGTTCTCAGACCCACCAATTTCATCCTGCTAAGAGGGCTTGCAGGATCGGTGAGGTGATGCCTCAACCACAAAGCCCCAATCCTTATAATGTGCATAAATCAACCCCAAGAATCCCTGAACATGAGGAATGTCATACTGCTGCCCAGACATTCAGCCCTCACTGCTTGATGCTGCAAGACATCAGCATTATATGGGAACCTTCATATGCATCCTGGTCCTGCCAGCCCACACAATCTGTCTAAGAGCAAGCTTCCCACATCATCTCTGGCAGATGGCACTCTGGTATCAGTCCCTATGGGCCTCCCATCTCCACTACTTCAGGTAAATCTTCATGTTTTATGCAAGACTGGTCCAACTTGACTCAACCAGTTGTAGGAAGTGTGGCAATGCATAGCAGCTAGACAAAAGGAACAGCAGAAAGAGGGTCCGGCCTCTCCAGTTAAGGACTATGTACGCACAGTGGAAGCTGATGGGGTTAGCCAGGAGGCTGAGCCTACCCTCAGAAGCATCAGTTAAACTGGATGTAGTGGCACACACCTGTAATCCCAACACTTGGGAGGCTGAGCCAGGAGGATTGCTGTGAATTTGAGACCAGCCTGAACTGCCTATCAAGACCCTGTCTCAAAAAACAACAACAAAACCAAGCCAGGTATGATGGTGCACACCTGTTATTCTACCCCCAGGAGAATCACCAGGCGTTCCAGGCCAGCCTGGACTACCATAGTGAGTTCAAGTACAGCCTGAACTACACAGCAAGACCCCAAAGCAACTGGATGCACCCTCTGAGCAGCAGTATCATCCTGGGGACATCAGTCAAGTACCAGTCAAGGTGGTCTGGGTGTGAGAGGCCCCATATAGCTGTGGGCTTCACATTTTCCATCCTCCACCTAAAAGCACACCCATGGCCCTTCCTTTTCAGCCCCTAGAGACATCTACTGGAGGGTGAGACTAAGAGTAAGTGGCAGAGCAGATCCAGAACTCCTGCTCAAGAGGAAGGGCCCTGAATCAGTTCAGGTGATCATTACCTTGACAGGTCCTAAAATCAAAGGTTGGGAGATAAAACACCCATTGGCAAACAACTCAGCAAATAGCAAATGCTCAGCGCAGCCAGACAGGGCTGACAAGAGCCCAAGAAACAAAGAAGGGAGACGGTAGAGGCCAGGGACAGGAGAAGTAAATTAGGTGTGACAGCACTTCAGAGCACCCGAGGGCCTGGAGAGGCTGGACGCTGACGCGCCACCAGTTCGTCTGGTATCAGGGGAGTCCCCGGGTCTTCTAAGGACACACCCCCTGCACCCTGGAACCCAATCCCACCGACTGTTAACTTCGTTTTTACCTTAACTGCTGAAATTAAGAGGCAAGCTCAGGCAAGCGCTGATGACGCAACCTACCTTATGTATTTGAGCCATGCACCCGGAAGTTAAAGGGAATGTTTAATAACCGCTGTCGGGGTGTTTTCTTGTGGCACAGGCTGTAGTAGGTTCCCTGAGCAAGACCCGCAGGGGGGCAGCACGAAAGGACCCAGCCTTCCGTGCGCTGCCAGCCACGACCCAACCCAGTTCGCCAGACCCCCAGACCCCAGAGCCCCGCAGCCCGGATCTCGGTCAGTGGGACTCGGCCGCTCAGGCCGGCCCCGGAGCTCCGGCAGGGATGCCACGCCAGGGCAAAGGCTCCGAGGCCCCGCCGTCCCTCAGGCCTACCGTTGCTGTAGGCGTACGGGGACTCAGCCGCGCCGTCCTGAAGGCTTTCCAGAATCTCACCCTTGCCCACGTCGCTGTCGCCCACCAGCAGGAACTTGAGCAAATAGTCGTAGCTCTTCACCGGGCTTCCCTGGGTGCCCATCCTCCAGCCGCCGTGCC